TGCTGCTACCACTACTAGTGCTACTACTGCTGCTGCTGCTGCTGCTACTGCTGCTACTGCTGCTACTGCTGCTGCTGCTGCTACTACTGCTACTGCTACTACTGCTGCTGCTGCTGCCGCCACTGCCACTGCCGCTGCTGCTGCCGCCGCCTCTGCTGCTGACCTTGACGCAGCTGCCACCACCAGCACCACCGCAGCTGCCACCACCACCAGCATCACCGCCACAAGTGGATTGCTGCTTTGCTGCTGCTCCTGCTCCTCCTGCTGCTGCTCCTCCAGCTCCTGTTGCTCGTCCTGCTGCTGCTGATGCGCCTCCTCCTCATCCTCCTCCTGCTACAGTAGTGATGTTGCCGCCGCCACCAGCACCAGCAGCACCACCACCACGACAGCCTCGGGCACCGAGGCACGGCACGGGAAGCCAAGCGCCTGGATGGCGTCAGCCGGGCGCCGCTGTACTCGGCCGGGCGAAGGGCTTCCTGGGTTTGGAGTCTTGGGTTCCGTTTCGGACAGCTTGGAGGCAGATTGTAGCTTTTCGGGCTTCATCATGTTAAGACCTTGGCTTTCAGGTTTCTAGCGGGGCAGGGGAACCTACGTAGTGGCATGCTGATCACTTCTACTTCATCCGTCCGCAATGATGACTGAGAGCTCCGTGTTTAGCGTTTAGAATTGCGTGTGCATTTGGATTGCAGCATTGATTCCTGTGCAGAGTTCGACTGCTCGGTTGAGCTTTGATTCGTTGTTCCAGACTATGATGGTGTTGGGAGATTAGTGGGGCAATATTCTAGTGCTTGGCGGCCGTTCGCGGTGTGGATTGTAAGAATGTTGAGTTCTACTCAGTCTAGGCTGTCGTGCTACAGCTTTCTGGCCGATCCGTTCTTGATTCACTTGCCCACTTTGCTTACCCTATAAATATTATTCTTTCAATTTGGGTATAATCCCTATATAATCCTTACATATTCCCTACATTCCCTATATATTCCCTATATAATCCCTATAGTCCCTGTATATTCCCTATATTCCCTATAATATATTCCCTGTATATTCAGTTGCCCACTTTGCCTTGCGAGGCCATGGGTGACGTGGCGGATGGCCTGGCCACGTTGCAGCCTGGGCAGGATTTAGCAGAGAGTTCCGCCCTAGGGTTTAGGGTGTTTAG